GGAGGTTGCATTGTATTATTTTTACTTTTTTTCCAACGTCCTTGCCCATGAGACAGTTGTTGGATACAAAGTTACCTTTAGAGGTCCATCTGCTCCCCTGCTAAGGGGGAGGTGGCCTCGCTGTTTTTGGGTGCCTCCTCCGTCAGGTCATCGAATGTCATCTGTTCAGATGCTTCGATTTCCTTTTCGGGACCCATGGTGGCCTTGGGGTCAATATCCACTTTAGGTGGTTCAACTCCCAAGGACCTAGGGTCTTCCGAGGTACCCTCTGTTTCTTTTACTGTTGCCCTAATAGTCAGTGAGGTAAACGCGTAGCTTAACCTCATCGACTTCTTCTTCAGGACAGCCATATCATCTTCTCCGATCCCGAAGACGAAGAGGTGTCCTTGTGGGTTCATCTTAACCTCATGATGGAAGGTGCACCATCTTGCTACCTTCAGGTAGATATTCTCACTGAATTCATTTTTCAACCACATATTTTATAAACATTATTTAAGCTTCCAAAATCACTATTTTCAGCCGAATATTGACTGGAGTTCACAAAAAGTGAAAGATGGGAAATAAGTTATATTTGCGTTATATGGTTTGTCGGAGAAGGAACAGATTTTCTACTCATAGGGTACATAAAATTAGTTTTAATAGCAACATCGTGAACAATTCCAGGGGAGCCTCAGTTGATGATCTTCCGTTTTTAACAAAATTAAAGATAACACAATAACTTTCTCGCGATTTAACTAGTAGGTATTAATAAAATCGTTGGTGCACCCCAACCTTGTGCACTTTTATTTTTGTTTTCAAGTGATGTTCAATATATAGCCAATGTTCTGAGGATTTATTTTTCAAGTTTGTAGTTCCATAGTACATACATTAATGAAAATGGCACTGAATAAATCCAATACACACCAAAACTATGACACTCAACGCGTGTTCTATGACGTCTGTCAGTACCTTCTAAAATATTTGGCGGTAACGCTTTCATCAAAGGCTATATTTTGGTGAAGGTATCGAGATCTTAGGTGTTCTGGAAAGTATAATTACGAACCTACATTATTGTAACTGTGTATCTTTTGAAATATCATCATCCCTTTTTATCAACTTTGTTTGGGTATTTTACCTTTCACAATCCGGAAAATATAAAAATTGTACTGCGTAAATTCAAATTGCCATATTCAATAATTTTGTTTATCAAAAAATGAGCTAGAAAATTATACAGATACTTATACTAACGTTTCGGAGGCTGAAATCTCCCCCGTCTTCAGAATTGAAAAAATCTTAGTCTATGGGCGAATCTATAAGAGAATCATCGATTGATATTGAAAGGAAAGCAACAGTGATACACGTGTATTCATGGTTCTCTACTTAGAAGTGTATTTGAACGGGAGTAAGTTGCTGTATTTAATTTGAAATTGATATCAAATTGCGAAGGAAGTTGCCCTGCCAAAGAATTGCGTAACAAGTGACTCACATTGATATATACAAATCAATTCAAATAATAGATTTCTCTATTGAATTTTTTCATGCAAAAATAAACTTCACTAAAAAAGGGACAAATATGTTGAATTCCTAAGAAATAGTGCAGGAGGCTCAATCAAAATATGTTAGGACGAGAAAAAGCTATTACTCTTCCACAACAAATAACTCAAGATATATCTGAATGTAAAACAAAATAAAAAAAAATATAACCCCTTCAATTCAAAAAATAAACAAATTGTGTAGCTAGTCGAATATTTAAAACAAGAAATGAAAACTTTCAAAAATGGAATGTATACACATATCAGTGAAAGGAAAGAAGAAAATAGTATCTTGAAAGGAGAAAATT